GGCGGAGCACGGCCTTCTTGAGCAGAGGGTCCAGGGCAAAGTGTCCCGTTCCTGTCCCCAAGTGCAAAACCTTCAAGATGCTCATGCTAATTGACCATTTGCGTAATAGACTAAATTTTGAACTAAACAAGTCTAGACAAAAATTTCATCACAGCTTGAAGGAGCATCACAAAATTAGTAATATTCCAAAGTTTCGTTGCAAAATGTTGTAAAATGCGGAAAATATAGCAATGCGAAATTTGCAATTTTCAGTAATTTTAGATTACAAACGGGAAATTGACAGCCCCAAACCCTTCGAGGCTGTCAATTTCCGGTTTGTAATCTAAAATGACTGAAAATTGCAAATTTCGCAAGGCTATATTTTCCGCATTTTACAACATTTTGCGACGAAACTTTGGAATATTACTAATTTTGTGATGCTCTTTCAAGCTGTAATGAAATTTTTGTTGAGATCAAAATTTAGTCTATTACGCAAATGGTCAATTACGGTTCTATTTTCCCCATACAATAATCAATGTAAAACTTACAAATCATTAAGTTTTGGTAATTTACTAAATGCCATAATTCCCATCATCTGCAACTTGTTATTTTTGAGATTTCTAAATGAACAAATGAAAACAAACACTCTACTTAATACCACGAGATTGCAGCACTAAAAGAGTGACATTGCTTATTATACTAACCATATTAATATTATAACAAATTAGGTCTCTCCTCTCAAATTAGGACCAATATTAGTAATTTTGTTCATATTTTCCAAGAAGTTTGTGAAATACAAAATACAGCACTTACATTTTCTCAAGCTGTGCCAAGGACGGGAATGTGGGGATATTCTTAATTTCGTTGTTTCCCATGTTGCTAAAAAGATGAAAAAAGCGGTTACAACCGACAATGAAGAAAGAAAAATGATAACACTCATTCATTCACAACAGGAACAACAACAGCAAAAGTAACCGCAACAACAGCAACCAGGTTAGGTTAAAACTCGGATACGGATGGACCGACGGTTGGGTGGCGAACGGACGGACGGGTGGCGGACGGACGTACTAATGGATGGCGGGCGGGCGGAGGACATGTTGTCATATAACGTCATTTGAAAGAAATTTGTGAGTTTTATCCTTCGGCATAAAACGCCGCCATGCTTTATAAAACACGTACAGTCCATTTAAAAGGCATATATCCGCGTTTGATGACAATACAAAGGATAAAACGTGTATCGATGTGACTTTCAAAGGCTCGTGACGACATTTGGTAAACATTATATATGCGTTATAACAACAACAGAAAACAGCAGCAACTAGAGGACACTCGGAGTGCATACAGTACCTCTGCCAGCGGATTAAGTGACGTATCATGCATAATTTATACAATGGGCAAATTACGCAATTCAGTTTACTCTGCCCGTAAGAATGGGTTTGTATCTCATGCCGAGTGTTGGTGGCGTACCCTAAGTACGAACTCTTGGGCGTACACTAAGTACAAACTCTTGGGCGTACACTATGTACGAAATCTTGGACGCACACCCCTGTTGACGTCATACATGCATTCATTCGCTTGAATTATTTCCGGTGCTGGATAGGGGGGGGGGGGGGGGGGGGGGGGGTAACCTACTGCAGTGCATAATGAGTCATTAGCAGTAAATAACCATTTTCACTATTGGTAGCTTGTTTGTGCAGCGGATGACTCACTTGTTAGGAACGTGTTTTGACGTCAGGTCGTCAGGTCGTAAAAAACAAGCGTTTATAATTAAAGGCAACCACGTAAGCGAATTTCACTTCGAGAACCACGGAATACATTCACAGTTCTCGGGGAAATCGCATTCATGAATGATGTTGAATGTTGTCATTCTTTATATCGCGAAATTTCGTTAAACTTGTCAAAAACTTGAAAGTATAAAACGAAACTATGCTTCACTATCAAAGTATTTTTCATCAAAATCGACAATGACTTTAATCACGGAAACTTTGACCGTGTAAGGGAACCTTTACTCAGAAGATATCTCTATTTTCGGTAAGTTGTCTGTTCGTCAAACTGTCCGTTCGGCAAAATGTCCGTTCGGCAAAACGCCCGTTCGGCAAAACGTCCGTCGGCAAAATGTTCGTTCGGTAAAATGTCTTTCGGCAAAGTGTCTTTCGGCAAAATGATTGGGTACCCAAGTGTTATTCCCGCTAGTGAAAACCACGAAAACAAAACGTTTTTCGCCTTTTATAACTCGTAGTTACTCGTGGTCCACTCGTATGTACTTTCAGAACAGATTAATATATATATATATAGTTTGTAACTAATTGTAATTTTCTGAATAATATAAAAGGACAACAACAACCAAAGTATCAATGAACAGTATAGCGTAGCCAGCCCGACGATTTAGTCCCGCTATGCCTATGCAAATATTTTTGTGTTCATTGACTGTGAAAACAATCTAAAGAAATGAATGATAATAATTTTGAATTTGTGTAGGAATAGAGGCACTAAATTGTCGGGCTGGCAACGCCACTGTCAATGAAAACTAAAGAGTCAGGTGATGAAAGGAGCTATAAGGAGCAGGGAGCTAATGAGCAAGTGAACAACAAGGAGTAAAATTGTAATTGAGAAAGTTAAAGAATCAGTACGAAAACGTGAAGAAAGTTCACACTTACATTTGCTGAATAGAATCTAAATTGTTAAATGATCCTTCTTCAATTTCGTTAATCTTATTACTCTGTAAATAGCTGATTGAAATAGAAAAATGATGAATAGAACAAAAACTTAATAATTATATATATATATATATATATTAAAATTTATAATTAAAACTATATATATATATATATATATATATATATATATATATATATATATATATATATATATATATATATATATATATATATATATATATATATATATATATATATATATATATATATATATATATAACAGGTTGTGGTGTGTAGACCTCATCAACGTGTATTGAAAGCGCTCAATAGGTATACTAGAGCTATGGGTATAGGTATACTAGAGCTATGTATATATATATATATATATATTTACTCACAGGTTTATCAATTTTGTAAGCTTCTGAAAGATATCTTTTTTCAACTCTGTCAACTTGTTATTTTCTAAATTTCTAAAAAAATAGTATTGCTTTAAAATAAAATTATTGTTAATTCAAAATCTACAACAGTACGAAATATATATTTAAATAATAAATACGTTAAAGAAAATTTCATAAACATACAACGTTAAGAGGTTGGTAAAAGTATCCAAAGAATTATTTGGCAATGACAGGATTTTGTTGTTCCTTAAATCCCTATAGAAAACAGAAGAACATGTAATAATCGTTTACGAACATTAATCGTTATGAGGCAAGCAGGGTCAACCCACACAGCAAATAATGCGCACTATAATGGCCAGACCCAAGTACATGAAAATAAGTGAGCGGGACTCTGCCTCGTCCCCAGTCGCTTGTTAACAAATAATTAGGAAAAAACGAATAATTAACGAGGAAAACGAAAACACGAATAATTAAGAGGAAAACGAATTTCCCGTCTTCCAATTTTCCTTGGCTTTCAAAGCGTCCAAAAGACATGGAACCCTTTATGCAATGCCATAAAAGAAGTTTGTGAACTATTTGGACGTCTGGACGGAGTACATGCACTACCCAAGTCTGAACCATAGAAATAATATTATAATATATAGACCTATCGCAAAACCACCCAAAATGTCCGATTTTACCGCACTCGGTTTTGAACACCTGTTGTTTCGCAAGATTTCCAATATATAGAATTCACAAAGATGCGAATTATTGCCACTACCAAATTTCAAATATAAAACAAAACCGGAAGTGTAGTAAAAACTTGAATTTTCGGGTTTCGCAATAGGTCTACATTAACACGTAGAGAATGGACAGGGAAAATTAGATAAGCTATATGACAGCGCTATATTAATTTAGGTCCAATCTCGTTCCCTGAGCATGCCCGTTCGCAGGTTAAGGGTGGGCATAGCTCTGGAGAAATCGAATTGATTCACGTTGAATTTCCAACGTGAGTTCTACGCATGCTCAGCAATTGTTGCAAAATATAAATAAAGTATTTAGAATTTCTCGTCGAAAATTTGATACTTTTTACACTGAAATCGGATTGAAAACAACTAAAAATTATGAGGAAATATGTACGAAAGCTTCGGATTGATAGGGATACAACTACCTGAAAAATACAAGGAGAACTTCGACGTTTCGAGGGAAGGCGCTTCGACTTGTCACTTGTACTGTTAGTGTTTATATACATCGCACTTCACCTTTACTGATAAATCTCCTCAAGAATGAGCATTATATAGTTTTATGCTTTAAAAGTTACATTTAACTCTCCTGTCAGAATTTATGGTATACGGTAGTGTTAAGTACGACAGTATAAAAGGTCAAGTATTATATATACAAACATTAACAGTACAAGTCGAAGCGCTTTCGCTCGAAACGTCGAAGTTCTCCTTGTATTTTTCAGGTAGTTGTATCCCTATCAATCCGAAGCTTTCGCACATATTCCCTCCAGAATTTCTAGTTGTTTTCAATCGATTTCAGTGTAAAAAAGTAGCAAATTTTCGACGAGAAATTCCAAATACTTTGTTTATATTTTGCAACAATTGCCAAGCATGCGTAGAACTCACGTTGGAAATCCAACGTACTATCTGCCGTTAGCCAATCACAGGCCTGAATCAATTCGATTTCTCCAGAGCTATGCCCACCCTTAACCTGCGAACGGGCATGCTCGGGGAACGAGATTGATTTAGGTCCAGCTTTAAGTACTAGATAAAACATAAGCAGCCGATCTGTATTTGATATACAAACTCGAGCCGAAGGCGAGAGTTTGTATATCAGATACAGATCGGATGCGAATGTTTTATCGTACTTAAAAAATGACCCATGAGTTCATTGGTGAAGTAATTTTAAAAATAAACATTGTCTAAGCCGAGAAAATCAACTCTGAAGTTTATGTAAATCAGGACAAATCTTTATCCGATTTACAAACATTGATTAAACATTAACTTCTTTTGTATTTTCCTCGTGAATTATTAATGAATTTTTTAAATGTATTATATATTATGCATAAACCAAACTTTGGCCAGAGGAAACTCAAGGAAATCAGCTTTATGCAACCAACCTAATCAAACGCCAGGCACAGTGCATTTTTTAAGGATTCTTCAGTGGTGGGGCAAAACTGCCAAAGGGTCCATTTTCCTTGACCTCCCCCCAGGATAGTATGCGATCGCCGAAGGTGTGAGCCGAGTCCGGCAGGCAAAAGTTAGCTACGGGGGTCTGGGGGCATGCCCTCCCAGGAAATTTTTAAAATGTGCGTCTCTGAAATGGCATTTCCTGCATTCTGAGAACACATTTTTTTAAAAATCTCAGCTTCTCAAAACAAAGTTCTAATGGTGAAATTTGTAATAAATTGCATGCTAAACATTCAAACACAACATAAGTTTAAGTATGCTCACCAACAAATTTTTGTTTTTCAAACTTCTTTTCAATGTTAAACTCATTTACTCAATACAGGTCCTAGGGCCCTGGCTTTGGGGCAATAGACCATTATTTTCCTCAGTGCAGGTGGGGCAGAGGAAGGGGCCAGTGGGGCAAATGCTCCACCACTCCATGGTATTGAAAAAATGCCTTG